GCGCTCAAACTACCTCCTATAATCCTCCCTCTGAGTGATAGGAAGAAACTTTTCCTGAAACAGCTGAGAGAACTGATCCCAAGTCAAATCCGGTGACCTAGATGGTCTAGCCAAACAAAAATCTCTCCACAAAGTCTTTGCGGAACCTGACAGACGAAAAGCAGCAAAGTCAACCCCATTGGTCTCCACTATCCCCATGTTCCGAAGAACCTCATGACAACTGTCCAAATAGTCTTGGGGATCCTCTGAAGATGTACCACCATGAGTAGTAGTGAAGAGCTTGGTGAACCTGTACAACCTCCACAAAGCATCAGCAGACATAGCTGCTCCATCACCGGTCTGAGCCACAACACCCGGCTGAACTACCCAAATTGGTTGAGCTGCTGGAGTTTAAAACTAGGGAGTCATCTGCTCTGGAGTGTGAGTTGCGGGAGTTTGTGCTCCTCCCCTAGCCTGAGAGACGGTTGGTTCTATAGGAAGTAAGTCTGCCTGGGCGACATTCTCCATAAGGCCCACTAGACGGACCAAAGCATCCTGAAGTACCAGGGTGGCGATGAACCCCTCTAAGACCTGAGATGGCCCTACTGAAACGGTCTGGGCTGGAGCCTCCTCCTCAAAATCTACCTGACGCTCCACTACTACTGATGTTGCTCTGGACTAAGCCCCGCCCCTACCTCGGCCTCTAACACGGCCTCGGCCTCGTCCTCTACCCTTCGTAGAAGCTGCCACTAGAGGCTTGGGTTGCTGATCAGCGGATTAAGAAGCACATGTTCTCTCCATATGCGAAAGAACAGAGTAGAAGTTCAGTTAGCATTGAGAAGTCAAATCGCACGACAGAGAAGAATAGTGTGAAGTTTTCCTAAACTCTGTAGCCTTTGGGGGATAAGCACAAACGTTTCCATACCAATCCCTCAGACTCTACCTAGCTTGTTCGTAAATTATGAGACCTAAGCAACCTAGAGCTCTGATACAAACTTGTCACGACCTGGATTTCCCACCCTTAGGGGCCGTGATGGCTCCTACTCTCGTGACAGCTAGGCAAGCCAACTATTAGGGTTCTACACAGTAACAATCAATCCCAAACTGTTATAAACAGAAACTAAAGTTAAACAGATGTTAAGTGCAGAAGAGTTATAACATGATCAGATAATCCAATACAAGTCTACCCATGAATTTGGTGTCACAACTTCAAGAACATCTACGAGCTACTACAAATACGGGTCTGAAAAGAAAGTATAACTGATCTTGGAAAAGAAAAGACACAGCAGAAATCTAAACAGGGAAGGGGGACGCCAGCAGATCTACCTTGGTCTCTCTGGACTGAAGGCAGCTACCTCAGCTACTCACTGGGTCCGGTACCAAAATCTGCATAAAAAAGTGCAAAGTGTAGTATCAATACAACCGACCCCATGTACTGAGTAAGTGTCGAGCCTTACCTCGGCAAAATAGTGACGAGGCTAGGACACGACAATCATATATACATGTGCAGTTAAATCATGTACAAACAGAAACAGAGTAACATAAATCAACAGAATAAGGTGGGGAGGGGACATGCTTCGGGGAATATCAGATTCTAACTGCAAACCAATAAAGAAGCATTAATAAAGAAGCATAATGAACATCACAACTATATCAACAAAATGATGAAACGGTAACATGCGCACGGCATCACCCTTCGTGCTTTTACTCTCGTCTTCACCATATGAAACAACAAAAATGGTACGGCACCACCCTTCGTGCTTTACCTCACATAATCATGGCACGACATCACCCTTTGTGCATTAGCACTCATAATATCAGCACGGCATCACCCTTCGTGCATTACACTCACTCATAATATCATGCACGGCATCACCCTTAGTGCTTTACACTCTTCCTCATCCAATCAATAGAAACAATAAGTCCCGACAAGGGAATCAACAACATCAACAATAACATCCCGGCAAGGGAATCAACAATAACATTCCAGCAAGGGATTCGGCTATAACCAATCTCGTTTTCAACAATTACTTTACTAAATGAAACTCAACTTGTGCCAATTCTCAGCCATAATCAATTACCAAGAAACTTTCATAAGCTTTGTTCAACATTAATAATCATCTATTTGAGCATGATCGATACATAATAGAGTCGCAACAATCATGATATAAGACTCACGGGCATGCTTGACACCAACGTATAGATACTCGTCACCACACTTATACGTCGTACTCGATACTAACACATCACAAATAAACCACAACTCATATTCTCTCTAGCTAAGGTTATCCATGGACAAATTAAGCCTCAACTACAACATTACTCCTCGGTTCCACTTTCAATTCGCTTGTATCTAGTCACAATGTACTTAATAATGTTAATATATGCTAAATAAACAAACTTCAATGCATGAAAATAAGTTTTCCCTTGTTTTTCCAAAAAGTCAAAAATCGACCTCGGGCCCGCTTGGTCAAAACCCGAAGTTCAAACCAAAATCCGATCACTCATTCACTCACGAACTCAAATATGTAATTAGTTTTGAAATCGGACCTCAAATCGAGGTCCAAATCCTCAAAATTTGAAAATTCTAACTTCTACCCAAAAACACCCTATTTCCCATGAAAAACCCTAGATTGTAGTGAAATCACGCAAAAAGATGTTATAGATTGAAGAAAATAGGTTAGAAATCGTTTACCTATGATTTGGGGAAGAACTCTCTTCAAGAAAATCGCCTATGGGATGTTTGGGTTTGAAAAAAGTGTAAAAGTGAAGAAGAACCCATCAAAATCTCACTTAGCAAGTCTCAGATGTCGCAATTGCGACCAGGGGTTCGCAATTTGTGAACCCTTTAGAATCCTGCTGCCTTCGCATTTGTGAAGGATATGTCGCATTTGCGGGGGG